TACCACCTTTGTGGAATGTTGCAATATCAGTGAGCTTTAAAGATTCCAGAGCCCAGACTCTTCTCCTTAGAATATTTAAGGCATGTAAAAATGAGGCCTTGCAATTCTTGACGTGTCTGAAGTTCCATGAGTCAGGGCCTGAGGCAGAGTGCATGGGTGTGTAATCAATGTAATCGAAGTCAAGTGGAGTTAGACTAGATATTAATGAGATGCCAGTAGCATTTTTTCTCATTTATGAACTCATTTGGGTAGTCAGTATTTAGGATGATTTATGGTTTACTGAACACTGAAGGTGATTTAAATTTACCAATAGACCCCTGACTGTCTTCAAAAAGGCGCTGGACAGGCATCTAAAGTCAGTACCTGATCAGCCTGGCTGTGGTTCGTACGTCGGTTTACGTGCGGCCAGCAGTAACAGCCTGGTTGATGAGGCCCTGATCCACCACGAGGGCTGTTCACGGACCGGGCCGCAGGGGGCGTTGACCCCTGAAACCCTCTCCAGGTATACTCCAGATAAGTATTTCACTCATTTTTTTTGTCAGTACATGTTCGATCTCCTTTTATCAAAGGTCCGATGCTAAATGTTGTCTTCGCCCTGGATTTTGTATATGAGCAATGTTTTGGAGGGTGTGGATGCTGGTTAAGAGTGGAGCAGCGGTCGTGGGTGATGGAACACGCAGCAAAGGTGGAGGTGATGTTGAAGAAGTGGTGGTGGAAATGTTCCGAGCCTTAGGCTGTGACTTTTTTCAAACACCGTTTGTGGATAGATGTTTCAGCCATCGCATTGCGGTTTGAGAGTTGTTGCAGCCACGATAGTGTGGGTTGAGAGTTGTTGCAGCCACGATAGTGTGGGTTGAGAGTTGTTGCAGCCACGATAGTGTGGGTTGAGAGTTGTTGCAGCCACGATAGTGTGAGTTGAGAGTTGTTGCAGCCACGATAGTGTGGGTTGAGAGTTGTTGCAGCCACGATAGTGTGGGTTGAGAGTTGTTGCAGCCACGATAGTGTGGGTTGAGAGTTGTTGCAGCCACGATAGTGTGGGTTGAGAGTTGTTGCAGCCACGATAGTGTGGGTTGGAGTTGTTGCAGCCACGATAGTGTGGGTTGAGAGTTGTTGCAGCCACGATAGTGTGGGTTGAGAGTTGTTGCAGCCACGATAGTGGGGGTTTGAGGTTGTTGCAGCCACGATATTTGTGATTTTGAGAGTTGTTGCAGCCACGATAGTGTGGGTTGAGAGTTGTTGCAGCCACGATAGTGTGGGTTGAGAGTTGTTGCAGCCACGATAGTGTGGGTTGAGATTTTGTTGCAGCCCCCGTTTGTGTGGGTTGAGAGTTTGTTGCAGCCACGATAGTGTGGGTTGAGAGTTGTTGCAGCCACGATAGTGTGGGTTGAGAGTTGTTGCAGCCACGATAGTGTGGGTGAGAGTTGTTGCAGCGACCTTGCTGTGGATTGAGAGTTCCAGCCATTATTTTTGTGGGTTGTGCTGCTCTAACAATGGCACTGCGTGTTAAACATTGTTCCAGCAATTGAATTGTGAGCTGTGAATTGTTCCGGAACTGAAATTTCGGGTTGTGAATTGTTCCAGGTACGGTGTTGTGAGTTTGCAATCGTTCTAGCATTGTGGATTAGTTGTGATTTTTTTAAGCAATTCCGTGACTTTCATTTTAGGTATTAACGTGAAATTTTGACATTTTAGGAGATATGATAATAGCGTATTGAAGCTGTAACGTTGTGTAGTATTAAAAGTAGACTAGACAAATATACGAGTGTGGGTAGGTGTGAGTTGGACCTGACTGGCTTGGGCCAGTAGGTCTGATGAATCTTTTTAAGTGTATGTGACTTGGACCTGACTGGCTAGAGCCAGTAAATGACTAGAATCTGCCAAGCATGGGCCAGTAGGCCTGTTGCAGTCCTTCTTCCCTTTGTTTTTATTTTCTCTGAGACTGTACGTGAATGGAGGTAGGATAAGGACTCTTAGCCTGTATATACAACTGTGTATAGAATTGCAATAATGTCGATAACTGCTTGACAAAGCTCCTGGAGAGCGAAACGTTGCCACAAGGAATTTTCGCATTAGTTGCATTTATGTCTTTTCACCTAACACAACTATGTATCGAAAGCAGCCTTGAAAAGTTGAGACAAGTTCGTGTGTTTGTGACGGAAGGATTGGTGGGTGGATTTTACCTTTCAGAGGGAGATTAAACTCTGTATTTTTTCAGGTTCCAGACAGCGAGGTTATGGTCTCACTGAAGCAGCCTCTACCCACCCCTTTCCTCACTTAATTTATGCGAGGTCGTAACTAAGAGAGCGTGTTCCCTGCTCTTGCCTACACCATCTGTTTCTCTTACAGTGATCGCTTTACACATAGATTATCCCTAAAACCTTCGTGGTGTGTGTCGACTCTCTCTCTCTCTCTCTCTCTCTCTCTCTCTCTCTCTCTCTCTCTCTCTCGTTTAAGCCTTTAACAGCTAAAGTGTCCCAAAGCCTCGCCGCTTCCCCTAGCCCTCTCCCAACCATCCTTAAAATAAAAAAAATAAACAATTGGCTAGACAAAGCTCCTGAAGAACAAAACGTTGTCGTAACAAAACCTCACTAATTGCACTTAAAAAAACAGAAATACATTACTTCTGTTTTCGTCTGCATGGGAGTTCATTTCTAATAACGGTAAATCACTGAGGAAACTCCCAGCACAAACAACAATGAACAATAAAAATGAGGAATTGATTTGGATTTGAGATTAGGTAACACGAACTTCCTATATAACAAATTATAGTAAGCCTTTAATGTGCTTATTTTTCTAACTAATTTGGAGATTGAGTGAAGCCACTTGCGCCCTGGACAGCATTAATAATGGAACAAATGAATTTTCATGGTGATGTGGCTGTGAGGTAAACAATACTTAACACCTGGCCTCAGTTAGCTAAGCAGTGTGTGTGTACTCACGGGTGTACTTTGTACTCAGGTAGTACACAGTACACCAGTACCAGTACATAGTACATCAACGATTTAGTTCTCTTCATCGAGGGTTCCGTCTGTCAGGGAAGACCTGGTGTATACCTGGAAGTTTTTGGGGGGATCAACGCCCCAGCTTCCCGGTCTATGACCAGGCCTCGCGGTGGATTAGGGACTGATCAACCAGGCTGTTACTGCTGGCAGCACGCAAACTGTCGTACGAACCACAGCCCGGCTGGTCAGGTACTGACTTTAGTGACAGAAGATAACTTAAAGCGTATTTGTAAAACTTGATTCCACTGACATCCTATAAATATCTTCTTAGTAAAGATGGAAAATTGTCAGAAAAAAGGTTTTCACCCTCTCCAGGATCGAATCCGGGTTCCTCGCTTATGAGCTGAAGGTGCTACCACATGAGCTTACTAGTGCTCATAATACGTGCTTAAAGAAGTATCTGGAGTCGACCTGGAAGGAGTTCCAGGGGTCAACGCCCCCGGGGCCCAGTCTTTGACCAGGCCTAATTGGGAGGCAAAATGGTACGTCTCACTGTCAGATATAATGACAAAAAAATTGTCCCAGTGCAGGTTAGTAGTATGACTTGTATAGCGAAGTTTTTGATCATGTGCCAGAGGCCTTACACCGGCTGACTATTTCTGGGAATGCAGTAGTATGAAGGAAGACAGAACCGTCATTACCGGCTGTACTCGAAGCTGTGAAAGTTTTCTAGAGAGTACGACAAGAAGATCAACTTTCTAATTAAGACAGCTGAAAGCTGTGGACAAAGACGAAAGTATACAGACTTTTCACTCTCACGTTTCTCGCCACTCAAAGACTGAAACGTTGCTCCAGAAGTGGCTTGTTTTGCACCAGTGAGTGTTAGACTCCTAGCGACTTACTCACACTGTCACCTTCCAACGCTCAAGGGACCAAATTCCTGAGTGACGGTAAGTGATGCGTAACCCAATACCTCTGTACAAGACACCTAATTACCGCCTTCACAGACACTCCTCCTCCAAGGACTGTATGATGTAGGATCTTTTCAGGAATCATACGATTTTAAATGACTGAAACACATTTCTCATGCACATACGATACTTAAGATTAGAGTAATAGAGGAATAATACTAATCTTTTTTTTTTTGTCAGTATGTACATGTTTCTTATTTGCCTAAAATTGGAATAAAGCCGTCATTACAATTTTAGGCAATTACAATTATCGAGATGTTAAATCTCTGTGTACTCCACGTTAAATGTTAAATCTCTGTGTACTCCACGTTAAATGTTAAATCTCTGTGTACTCCACGTTAAATGTTAAATCTCTGTGTACTCCACGTTAAATGTTAAATCTCTGTGTACTCGCCGATATGTGTTTTTAGGGGTGTAGTTCTAGTTCCTGGCTCCGTCTTTCAACTTGCTTTTAGTCACATTCATCCTTTTGATTTTAAAAGGGGACCCCCCTTATGGGGCC